AAATAGTACTTATCTCAACGTGTTACTTGATATTCATTATTTTGCCACAAAATCAATTTCTTTTTCAAAAATTAATAAAATCAAATCAAAGAATTATATTTTACTATCATGATATATTTTTCCAATTGTATTTATAAAGTTGAATAAATGAATTAGTACTTAAGTTCTAAGTCTTCAAATGTTGAGGACTAACTTGATACTAAACAAAAGTTCAGGGATTATTTCGGTTCCAAAAATTAAAGTTTAAGGACATTTTTAGTACTTTTTAAAGTTTTGGAATAAATTTGACCTAAATCAGAAAGTTGAGGGACTAACATGGTTATTTAACCAAAAAATTTAGGTCCTTCAACTTTAAAATTTACATACTTTTTGTCCCTCAACTTTTTAAATATTTTGTTTAATCTTTAATTATGAAAAATACAATGTTTTATAGTTAATTAAAAGATATGAAATGTAGGAAACGGTAAGACATGAAAATTTGCCCATATAAAACCTTCAAAACTCACAACAATCATATATATTCACCCTAAAATATACTCAAAACAACAAATCTGAAAATGCTAGCTAATATCAAATACTTAATATAAACATTTTGTCATTAATGGTTGAAATTTCACTAAAAATTTATAAAAACATTATTCATAACTATTCATCAAATTTATCTAAAAGAAAATCTAATAATATTAACTAATATCTAATGAATTAATTAATAATAATATTTAATGGTTTAAATTAAAAAAAATAAAATATACGTAAAATATATAAAAAATAATAATAGTACTTAAATTTTACTTACCACTGCTTGATTTACTAGACTGCAAGAAGAAAAATGTGTTAAAGTGCTTCAAAGGGAAGAATGGAGGAAAGGTAGCAAGAACAACTCGCGGGACAAGAGGAAAATGAAAATGAAAGGAGAAAGACCAAAATGAAAGCAGAAGGGTGGGGTGGCAGGGCAATAAGGAAACTTACCGACGAAACCCACATTGCTACAGTCTAAAGCTGATTATCTCTACGTTGCATCAGGATTCTCGATGACCGGGCCAATCACTGACGAACATAAAGTTGGAAATGCATATATTACCGACCTATATCTTATTGGTAAGGAAAATAAAAGCTGCAACACCAGTGGCCAGCAGCCGGATTCGCGGGGAGTTGTTAAATGGCAAATTACCGACAAGAATTATGGCGGAAAATTGAATAAAAAAGCTACACTCCCTGACGTAGGCAGCCAGCTGGTTGGCGGGAGTGCATTGGGGGTGGAAATTACCGAGAAGATGAATGTTGGAAGTTGATCCTCAATTACTGACGAGACTATCGTTCCAAAATTAAATTTACAAGCATGCTTCTCGTTGGTGATGTGCCTTTCCGTCCTTCCCGCACCGACCGGAGTGGTGGCTGCAATTACTGACAAGTAACACGTATGTATGAGCTTAAATCACCGACAAGTGTTACGTCTGTACAATAAATAATATATCTTGCATTTCTACTGTTTCTCATGTTGCAGACTTAATTCTTGTCGGTAAAATGATGCTTCACCGAGAAAACTTCTTACCTCGGTGATATGTGGTCGGTGAAGCTAGGTTTTCTTGTAGTGTATATTATACAAGCAATGGAAATTAATGTTATGACTTAACTATATGTTATTAATAAATAGTGCATCTTCAGCGATTAGTAGACAAGTTCGAAGCTGAAGGTGTTGATTTTGAGGTCTCATATTTGAATTAAGATAGGATAAGAAATATTTAGTAAGTGAAAATTGGGATGTGAATTGAATTTGGAAATCCCAAAGAAATATTGGTGTAGTCTTAAAGAATAAGCAGGTTTTCTTTTCTAGAATTTCTCTGCATTTTATGCCTAGAAATGCTGTTTCGTTTTGTGAGACCTCAGATTTCTTCTTTTCGTAAAGTAACATAACTCGCTTGGACCTCAGATTGAAGTTTTCAGTTTGATCTCAAAGTTCCTACTTTTACTTTAATGAATGAGAAATGTTGAAATAATACTTGTTCTAAGTAAACTGACATATTAGATTCAATTAGATTAAAGTTTCTTCCAACTAATTGGGTCGGTTTAGATGACCAAATGTTTAAGAAATTGAACCAAAGAGAACCATACGTAACAACCCCTACATCTAGATTTCTAGGGGATCTTGAAAGAATTCTTCAAAAGAGGTCCAATGTGTGAAAATTGTGCACTGTCCATTACCAACTTGTATGTAATCAGATAATAAATGGCAAGAGGAATGTGAAAGATTACCTGGATCATTAGTAGCGTTACTTGTTGCTTCTGTATCAAAATCCAAAACAACATCAGAAGTTGAAGGATAAAGGAAGCATACAGAGATTGATGAGAGGAACTAGATCCTGCATTGGGCTGAGTAATTAGCAAGGAACAATCACGAGCTTGATGATTAAGGCCCATACACCAATTGGCAAGCAGTGGGAGCAATAGGAGTGAGCAACAATGGTGACAAGCCTTGCCTTCTAGCAATCCAGTCCTCGACATTGTTCTTGGAAAATTTCTAACTAGAAAAATTGAAATTTGGTGCTACAAATCCACGATTATAACCATATGAAAATTGCTACTGTTGGGAGTAGCCATCGGAGGACTACTGATTGCCATCATAGAGGTGCTGTTGACCACCATCATAGGAGTTTTGATTACCATCAAAGAATTGTTGCCGACTGCCATCAAATCTTCCTTAACTACCCCGACCACCCCTGTTATTATGACCAGCCCATCGTTTGCCGTGGTTGGAGCTTCTAGCATAGAAAAAATGAGGGTTAGAAGGAACACCCATTGTTTGCAACAGTTGTGGATTGATTGAAGAAAATTGCTTAGAAGTAGATTGAGATTCTCGCTGGAGATTAGCTTCTTCAATTAAAAGAAGAGATCTAAGTTCCAGGAAAGTGGGGAATGGTGTCCTTTGGGGTATAGTTCATTTAGCCACAGAGAATGCTTGATCTAACCTAGCAATTGTTCGAAGAACCAAATCCCTATCTGTCACATAATCTCCGTTACCATGCATTCTATCAGATAAAGATTTCACATGCTGTAGATAATCCATCACAAATTGGCTAGGTTGTTTTTGAAGAGAGCAAAATTCTTGTTGAAGATATAGTTGTTGTGAAGGCCATTCCACCTATTATAAATTGGTTTTAGATTGGATGCAAGTGTTGTATTGAGCTTACATGCATAATTTTCACATGGTATCAGAGTCGAGATTCTATCCTGGGAAGCTCGTTGTTAGCTTATACCTGACAAGACTGGAAGTTAAAGTTGATACCGAACCTGCATGTAAAGAGGTATATTAAGCCACGTGATAAGACTTGACATTCATAGCGGGTCTGCACGTGAGAGGCATGTTGAGTGGGAAAATTCTACATTGAGTGTAAAACGAAAAAACTTATTGACTAAATATAAGGAAGGTTGCTCCACTTATTGCCAATTGGTTTTAAATTGGATGCAAGTCTTATGTTGAGCTCACATGCACAATTTTCACATGATATGTAGTTTATGTTGATTGATTGCTCTAATATTAAGGTAAAATGGAGTGTAGATATTTGGATGTTGAAGTTGAAGGATCAAGAGGCATCAATATGGTCTATATATAGCATATATTGGTATGTCTCCATTCTATGGACTAGGAAACATTATTTTATGACAGAATATGTTGATGTCATTTATATATTCGACTGAGGTAGGGAGGGTTGGAGAAAAGAAGAAATATCTTCTGTTGTATATATAACATATTATTTTATATGTTAAAAAAATATCAATATTGACAAAAAGAAAAGGCAAACATTGCTGTGGATGAGATACCGCCATCTCTACAAGTTCTCAATTATCTTGCTTGCTACCCTCAATTAGCATCTGCATCAGCATTCTTCTACTAGAAAATTTAAGTTAGCATGCACAAAAATCAAGTTAAAAGACACGTAACTCTAGGAAGTAGAACAGCAAGTGACATTTTCTTGTCATTCAAATTTCTATATCAAAAAATTAGACCAAGTAATGTTAAATGCAATTTTTAATATCAATCTATTAACTAGAATACTACAAAGTTTGAATTTATAAGGACACAATCTAACATATATAAAATTTGAACCAAAATTTTTTTTTGTAATCTCACATAAAAGTGGGGCCTCATCCCTTTTTCACTTTCCTCATCCTAGTTGCATGGCTTAGTTATCGAGTCTACAGTTACATACGTAACACATATAAGAGATAGAAAACCCCATGTATGTTGAGAATGGTTATGCCATTGCCTTACCATTCCATCATGGCTATGTTTAGTTGTAGCCCTTCTGAGGAAGTTATTGTCCCTCAAATGTGTTGTCCATTTGCCTTAGGATTGTGCCACGTACTAAATGTCTAGTGAGATAAACTTCACAAAAAAGTGAGAGTTTGGTTGATTAAACACCTAATTAACTCGATTTGGAATAGCTTATATTATATTATTTTCTAGGGCACTAACTTTTCCCTAAAAGTTGCAACCAAAAATGCCCAGAGATTTATCAAACTACAAAGTTTGAACTTGATTCCAAACCCAAATACAGAAATATAAAATAAAAATCAATCTTTAATGCATTTAAAGACAAAGAAAAGTAAACCTTATTACTTAAACGTATGGTATTGTTTTCTTAAGTATAGGGTCTTAATCCTATCGATCAACACTAACATTTGAATAATTTGAAAACTCTCAACTTCGCCTTTTCTACATACAACCAATCATGCAAGTATAAATTCGGATTGGTTTATGTCACCAATTTAACAAAGTTGAGGCTAAAATTCTAACAACTTTAGACTCTTATTTGAAAATTTTTTTCAGCATACTTTCTTATTAGATCAAACACTCTAGTTTTCATGGCCTCAAGTAACCCTGAAACTAGAGGGAAGATTTTGGAAGATCTAACAAGGAATGCTGCTCAAATACAACAGTAGTTGTTGAAAGAAATACTTGGAATGTAAATATAGAATATCGTAGGAGCTTTCTCAATGGTGACTTTAAAAAGCAACTTTTCAAGAAGAAAGTTCCGGTGGTTGATTATGAAGATATAAAGCCTTACATGGAACGAACTGCCAATGGAGAGCCAATTGACATACTTTATCAGAACCAATTACTGAGCTTTTATAAAGGCATAAGTCTTGTCCCATTATTTTCCATGTCTTCCTTTAAATTCTTAGACTAAACATATTCAATCATCTTTGGTGCAGCTCTAGTATTTTTGGAGGGATACTAAAAAAGGTGCTTTCAAGTGCTAAATACCTTGACAAAAAGTTGTTTGGTCACAATTTGTTTAATTCCAAGATGATGAAGTAAGAAACAATTCACTAGCCTTAGTGTCTGTTTTCTTTAAAATTTATATGCAATGCATGACAGATATCCGACCTAATAAAATTATAGGTACATAGATGGTTTGAACAAAGGAATGTGGATGTTCCTTCAATTCATCAAGTCGGATATTAAAATCACATCAGGTGTGGTGGCAAGGTCCTACACAACTAGCTTAACCAAGCTTATGCAAGAGAAAAATATCAAGAACGATGTTATTTCTACCAACCTTTTAGAAACAATCCTGTGTTCAGCTATCAAGGAAAGCATGTATGCCCAATTCTTTGTTGGTTACTACAACGAGAAGAAGTTGTATTTGTTGGTTCAACATTAGCATCTACATTCCTTAATGCCAACAATTTCTTAGAAGATTATTGGAAAGAGATGTGCTTTAACATAAGAATAGGCCATGTTAGTGATTGGATTGCCAACCCTGGTTGTAGAAATTCTATGTCATTGATCTAATCAAATCTAATTTAGAATTGGCTGACACAATAGATCAAGTATGTTGTAGTAAATCATGGGAATGGATAATTAGAATGCTTTCACCCTAAACAAAAGGTGTTGGTGCCATACTTACTAGTACTTTGGCTCAATATATCCCAACACTGGATTACTACAATAGGGACCTCCCTTTAGTTTTAACAATATATGCTTCTTGTGAAAGTTTCTTTGGGATCAATTTGAATCCCTTGTGTCTACCATTTGAGGTCTTGTATACTCTACTCTCCAACATGACCTATTTCAAATTCCTATCTATAAATTCAACACATGAACAACCACAGCAGTTGAGAATATTTTTGATCTAGTGGACTTGAAGGTTGACCAATGTTATGAAATCGTTGTCACAATAGTTATAGGTAAATAAGGACTTTTTCTTTCTATACTTATATTTTCATGCTTTTTATTAAAAAAATGTATATTTTTCAAGTCTATAGATACAAAGTTAGGGACATTGTTAAGGTAATTAGTTTCTACAACAATGCTCCTCAAATACAAGTTGTAAGGCGACGATATGTAATTTTAAGCATAGATTCAAACAAAACAACAAATGAAGACCTATCAAAGGTAGTGACATAAGCACAAATCCATCTTGAGACACTTGGGTTGCTTATGATTGACTATACTAGCTATGGAGATACTTGTTCTATACTGGATCACTATGTCTTGTTTTGGGAGCCCAAGATGAAAGAAAACAAGGGTGATGTAGAAGAACTTAATTTAGAAAGCGTGGAACAATGCTGCTCCAAAATGGAAGAATCCTTGGATTACAACTATAAGGTGTATAGACAGGAGAATGCAATTGCAACTTTAGAGATTGGATTGGTAAAACATCAAACATTTGATGCATTGATGGAGCTTTTAATATCAAAAGGGTCCTCTTTTGGCCAATGCAAGACGCCAAGGTGCATCAAATATGAGAAAGTAATAAGTTGCTGAATTCTAGAGTGGTGGCAAGGTTTTTTTAGTCTAATAACTCCTAAGAGCAGTTCTTGATACATAACACATTAAAGAATCTAGGACCAGAAGCAACATAATGTGCAGCTTGCCTTTTTTTAGGGAAAAAGGAATATTAGTCAAATAAAGGTGAATGATGGGTATGGATATACTTGTGAATATAGAGGCCTTTATTTTTGTATATGATTTGTTTATTTATTGTGTATGAATTTTATTTTGGATATAGTATAGGTAAGGTATTTTATGTTATACCTATGATTTTGATGATTACAAAATGCATTTGAATGACTAATTTATTTATTTAAGTGTGTAGTTGAACTTTCAAAAGATTGCAAAATTAAGTGAACTTGGACTACACTAAATTGGAACAAAAAGGCTGCAAATTATGTAAAGAGTCGGCTCTAGTGAACAAAAGTGCAGAAAGCTGACTTTAAAATCTACAGCCAGCTTTACGAGTGAAAGTTTTAGGCACACATGGAAAACGAATGCAAAGCCGACTTTAACTTTGCAGCCAGTTATGAAGGCGCATTTAATGCACAATGGTCAAGTTATTTAAAGATTCTTTAATCCGTTTAAAGTCAAATTTCCAAAGCCAGCTTTACATTTTTGCAATTGACTCTTGAGAAAAACAGAATGTGCAAGTAGGCCGCAAAGTTGGCTCTAGGAATCTAAGCCAGCTCCAAATTTAGAGTCGGCTTTGCTGACAAATCTATGACTCAAAATTATATGACCTGCAAAGCATTTAATGACCCCCAACGGCTAAAAAAGGCATTTTCGACCAAGCGGTTATAAATATGGTTGGTAGCAAATCTGGAATAAGTTTTTGAGCATTGTACTGAATATCTTTATATACCAACTTGTGCTTTAACTTGAGTTTTTGATCTTTGCTTGTAATCCTTTTCTTGTTCTACGTGTGTGTTATCTTAGGGGTGTGATTATTCCTTCAAGAGTGATTTGTAGAGAAGATTCTTAGGGTTTAACTTGAAAAGGGGTGAGATTTAAGAGAAACGCCATTCTTCTTATAAAAGGATTAAATGGCTCCTTTAAGCTACCCTTGTTTTTCTTAGTTGAGAGTGTGGAGGAAATTCTTAGTGAGTGAAGCCAAGGTAGAGAATTAGGCTCTAAGTGGTTGGACTGAAACTCTACAAAATCATTTTGCAAGCTCTTCTTCCCTACTCTCTTGTTAATTTTTGTTTAGTGGTTGCAAAGAGGTGAAAATTTTCCAACTCCAATTCACCCTTTTCTTGGAGTGCATTGAGTCGACAATTGATATTAGAGCAAGAGCTCCAATTTGAAGGTTTAACCACTAAGGAGTTGATCAAGAATGGCTCAATTTCAAGCTTCTCAACCACTTGAAGGTTTATCTACCATTAAGCCTCCTTTCTTTGATGGTACTATTTATAATTATGAAAAAAATAGGATGAAGGTATTCATGCTTACAAATGAGCCCAAGGCATGGATTGTGTGACTATGAAAGGTCCATATGTGCCTATGAAAGTTGTTGGAGAAAATGAGGTACCAAAGGAAGAAGCTGAATGGAATGATGAAGACTTGGAGGTGATCAAGATCAACCACAAAGTGATCAACATGCTTCAATGTACTCTTCATTCAATGAAATTCAATAAAGTATTCGGGTGTGATACTCCTAAAAAGATGTGGGACATGTTAGAGGTAACACATAAAGGAACAAGCCAAGTGAAGGAATCAAACATCAATAGACTTATTCACATGTATGAGCTTTTCAAGATAAAACTAGAGGAGAGCATTAAAGAAATGTACACAAGATCTAATGATATAATCACCAATCTCAAGGCTCTTGGCAAAGTTTATTCTAATCAAGAATTGGTGAGGAAGATTCTTAGAATCTTGCCTAAGGTTTGGGAAGCCAAGAAGACCGCAATTAAAGAGGTTAAGAATCTCAACACTCTCAAGCTTGAGAATATCAACACTCTCAAGCTTGACGATCTCATTGGAAACTTAATGACATATGAGATTGATATTTAAGTTGATGGTGGAGTTGAAGTAGTTGAGGAGAAGATGAATATCGCATTCAAGGCTAGCAAACAAAAAGAAGAGAGTCAAGATGATGCTAGTGATGATGAGTCTAGCCATGAGGAAGACATCACCAAATTGGTTTTAAAGGAAGTGAAGAAATATATGAAGAGCAGTCTCAAAGGGAAATCCTCTAGAAGAAACAAAGAAATTCACTACTCTAGAGGAAAAATATATAGTGATGATGAGGATAGAGGAAAGCTAAGCGAGAAGCATATTAAATGCTATAAATGCAATGAGATAGGACAATATAGAAATCAATGTCCTCAATTGAAGAAGGGTGAAAGGAAAGACAAGAAGAGCATGAAGAAGAAAGCATTTGTTGCCACTTGGAGTGATGATGAGACTAGCTCAATGGAAAGTGAAAGCTCCTTGGAGAATGGTGTTACAAATCTTTGCTTCATGGCTTAAGAGGATAGCTACAATGATGAGGAGGTAAACTCTAACTTCTCTAGTTCAATTAATGAAAGTTCCTTTGAGTATTCTTATGATGATTTATGCAAAGTTCTTGATTACTCTATGAATGATATCAATAAACTACGAAATGAGAATCTTGCTCTTACTAAAACCATTTTATTGCTTAAAAGTGAGATTGAAATTCTTTCAAAACAAAATAAGGTTCTAGTTAAAGAAAATGTTTCCTTAAATGTTGAGATTGCATCTTTAAAGAATGAGAAATCTAGTAATGCTTAGTTTTGAACAATGGAAAGGACTCTCTTGGAAAATTTGATTCTAAAAGTGATGAAAGCATCTTTCTTGAATACTCTACCTTTAGTAAAGCTTACTGAGTGTATAATAAACATATTAAAGTTGTTGAGGAATCTATTCATGTGGTATTTGATGAGACTTACCATATTTGCTGTAGAAAGTCTTATGATGATGATGATGTACATGCCATTGGAGAACAAATGAGAGATATGAATCTCAAGGAAGACAACACTAAGGAAGCTCAAAATGAGAAAAATAAGGAAGACAAATATGAAGAATTGCAACAAACACATGAGCCAAAAAAACTGACTTTCCCAAGAGAGAGATCCTATGTCAAAGGTAATGAAATCATTAGGGATCCATCAAAAGAGGTAACTACTAGATCTCATGCTCATAATACTTGTGCTTTTGTTGCATTTATATCTCAAATTGAACCGAAGAATCTTGATGATAGTTTAAATGATCCTAATTGGGTGATGGCTATGCAAGAGCAATTAGCTCAATTTGAAAGAAATAAGGTTTGGAGTCTAGTTTCTAGACCTAAAGACCATCCCATCATAGGAACTTAATGGGTCTTTAGAAATAAGTTACATGAGAAGGGAGTTGTGGCTAGAAACAAGGCAAAACTAGTTGCTAAAGGCTATTGTCAAGAGGAAGGAATTGATTTTGATGAGACTTTTTCCTCGGTAGCTAGACTTGAAGTAATTAGAATGTTATTGGCCTTTGTATGTTTTAAAGGTTTTACACTTTACCAAATGGATGTTAAAAGTGCTTTTCTAAATGGTTATGTTCAAAAAGAGGTTTATGTTGAGCAACCTCTCAGTTTTGAAGTTCCATTTCATCCAAACCATGTTTATAAACTTTCAAAAGCTTTATATGGCTTAAAACAAGCTCCTAGAGCTTGGCATGAAAGATTAAGTAGGTTTTTGCTTGTAAATGGTTTTTCTAGAAGAAGAGTTGATACCACCTTGTTTGTGAAAAACAAAGGCCAAGATATACTAACTGTCCTAATTTATGTTGATGATATTGTGTTTGGTGCTAGTAATGATTCTCTTTGTCAAGAGTTTTCCAAAGTTATGTGAGGTGAATTTGAAATGAGCATGATGGGTGAGCTTAACTTCTTCTTGTGACTTCAAATCAAACAATCCAAAGAAGGTATCTTCATCAACCAAAGCAAATATACAAAGGAAATGCTCAAGAAGTTTGGAATGGAGCTTTGTAAGCCAATAGCAACTCCTATGAGCACTTCAATTAACCTTGACAAGGACAAAGGAGGTAAGCCTATTGATCCCAAGGTTTATAAAACCATGATTGGTTCCCTACTTTATTTAACTACAAGTTGATTGGATATAATATTTAGTGTTTGTTTGTGTGCTAGATTTCAAGCTTGTCCTAAGGAGTCACACTTAGTTACAATTCAAAGAGTCTTTAGGTACCTAAAGGATACTCCCAACCTTGGTTTATGGTATCTTAATGGTTCTTCCTTAGACTTACATTCATATTCGGATGCGGACTGTGCGGGTTGTAGGATTGATAAAAAAAAAAAAAAAGTACAAGTGGAATTTGTCAATTTTTTGGTAATATACTTATATCATGGTCTTCTAAACAACAAAATAGTGTTGCTCTATCCACAACTGAGGTTGAATGCATAGCTGTTGCAAGTTGTTGTGCTCAAATGTTGTGGGTGAAACAACACATTTTGGATTTTAACAGTACCATGGGTCATATTCCCATTAAATGTGACAATACTAGCGCTATCAATCTCACTAAAAATTCAATCCAACATTCTTGCACAAAGCACATAGAAATTAGGCATCATTTTATTAGGGATCATGTTGCTAATAGTGATGATGATTTATTGTTTGTTGATACTAGAAATCAATTAGCTAATATATTTCCAAAGTGTTTTGATTGTGATAGGTTTTTCTTTATTAAAATGAACTCAGTATGCTAGATCCTAATGGTTGATATGATTTTTGAATTTGATATGCTTATTAACATTTATGCAAATTAATGAGCTTGATTTCCATAATGTTGTGATTGACTATGATTTGATGATTATGATCTTAAGTGCTTTCATTGAGGGGTAGCAATTTGTGGATAGTATGCTTAAATTACATATTTTTTATACTTTAAAGGTTGATATGTATGAATTAAGGGGGAGTTTATTAATTATGTTCGTATTCTTTTTGATGGATGACAAAAGGGGGAGAAAATATGCTGAATTTTTATGATTTATTTTCATATTTTGGAGTGCTTTGATGCTAAAATTTTTGGTTAATTCTGAAGTCTATGTGTGCTTTCATTAGTTTATTCTTAAAGTGTTTTGTCGTCATCAAAAAGTGGGAGATTGTTGTAACTATGATTTTGATGATTACAAAACAAATTTGATGATTAATTTATTTATTTGTGTAGTTGAACTTTTAAAAGATTGTAAAATTAAGTGAACTTGGATTGCACTAAATTGCAACAAAAAGGCTGTAAATTATGCAAAGAATTGGCTCTAAAAATATGTAGGCGGCTCTGGTAACAAAACTATAAAGAGTTGGCTTTAGAATCTATAACTAGCTTTATGGGTGAAAGTTTTAAACCTGCAGTTTAGTGCACATGGAAATGGACACAAAGCCAACTTTAACTTTGCAATCGGCTATAAAGGCACATTTAATGCACAACAGTCAAGTTATTTAAAGATTCTTTAATCCTTCTAAAGTCAAATTTCCAAAATCGACTTTACATTTTTGTAGTTAGCTTTGGAGAAAAATAGAATATGTAGGAAGGCCATAGAGCTGGCTTTAAGAATCTAAGCCGGCTTTGCTAAGCCGACTCCAAATTCAAAGTCGACTTTGCTAACAAATTTGCAACTCAAAATTATACGATCAGCAGAGCATTTAATGACCCACAACGGCAAAAAACAACTATTTTCGACTAAGGGGCTATACATATGGTTGGTAGCAGATTTGGAACAAGTTTTTGAACATTATATTGATATCTTTACCTACCAACTTGTTCTTTAACTTGAGTTTTTGATCTTTGCTTATAATCCTCTTCTTGTTCTACTTGTGTGTTATCTTAGGGGTGTGACTATTCTTTCAAGAGTGACTTGTAGAGAGGATTTTTGGGGTTTAACTTGTAAAGGAGTGAGATTTGAGAGAAACACCCTTTTTCTTGTAAAAGGATTGAGTGGCTCCTTTAAGCCACCCTTGTTTTTCTTAGTGGAGAGTGTGGAGGAAATCCTTGGTAAGTGAAGCCAAGTTAGAAGACTAGACTCTAAGTGGTTAGACCAAACCTCTATAAAATCATTATGCAAGCTCTTCTTCCATACTCTCTCTCTTTAATTTTTCCTAGTGGTTGCAAAGAACTGAAAATTTTCCAACTCTAATTCACCCCTCTCTTAGAGTGCATTAAGCCAACATTTAATTAATTAATTTATTTATACTTATTTTAAATTTTATAGTGAGAGATAACTTTCTTTTGCCTTTCTAGCCATTCCACTAGCAAATAGTTTACTAACTTGAAGAAGAGATAATCACTAACTTGCTTAGGTCATTAGCAATATATATAAGTATTTTATTGAGTTTTTTTAATAGAAGCATGAGATTTCATTAATAAACAAAAAATACAAATATAATGTCATGGAAGTCATATAGGCAAATGAACCAAACCTACTAGTTGAAACCCCGAGCAATGCCCAAGCCATAAAATTAAAAAAATAATAATTATAAAAAAAGGAGTTCGAGGGTACATACTAAAATTGGAATATTTAACCAAATCATCTAAGAAGGGAACATCTCCAGGGATATATAGTTACCAACATTTTAAAAATTACATGAGATAAAATTAATGAAATACACCTTCAGAAACATAAGCTTGTATATCAGTGGATTTTTCAACCACATTTATAGAGTTTTTATCATTTGAATAGGTAGACAAAGGCAATTGCAAAGACATATTGGAGCTTGGATTTACATGTAAAACAAAACTCTTTCTTCTAATACTGCCAACATTGTTCTCTTTTAAACTACATATAAATTAAGACAAGCATTTTCATATGTTACATACAATAAAACAATCATATACTATTGATAAGAAAATATGAAATAAGGATCTTACGTTATATGCACTTTCTTTGAAAAACTCAAAACTTTTCCTCCACAAGACTTCACTACAACCAAAATCTAGGATATGGAATAGAAATTTGTCACATTTCTTCATCATTTTGGAATTATGATCTAGAGATCTAATAGTTGGGAGGTATCCAAAACAAAAGCATCTAGTGGATTGGCCACAAATGTGCATGAACCAACTTTAGCAAACTTAGCATACAAACTTGATTTTCTTTTACCTTTTGGATCCTTGTAATAAGAGGAACACATAAACAATTAAAAAGGGAAGCATAAAATGTCTAAAAACATGAACAAACCAAACAAATCAGGAGTATACATGAGCAAAGAAAATGAATAAGTGTAATGGGAAACAAATGATGAAAAAAAAAATGAAATAAGTAGTATAGGAGATAAATGAGAAAATAGAATTTAGAAGATCATAAGCTACTATTTTAAAAATATAAACAAAAAATAGATAAATGCAAAGCATATATGAGAGCAAAGAAAATGGAATAAGTGAAATAGGAGATAAATGACAAAAAAATGATAAGTTATAAAAGGATTTTCACTTGCCAATGGCACATTAAATATCCTGAACCGAAAAACATTTACTATTGTGAAAACATAAAAATAGCAAACAGATGAGGAGCATAAATGGGAAAAGTAAATAGAATAAGAGATATGAGAGAAAAATTATCTAAAAAAAAATTATACAAGGATTTTCAGTTACCAATAACAATATTAAATGCCCTTAAATGAAAGACATATAAAACAAAATTACAATTAAGAAGATTAAAAATCTAAACAAATATGGTAATGAAAAAGTGGATTAACAGACATATCATTTTCAAATATGAAATGTAACTTGCATTACTAAGATATCATTTGTGAAACTAATATACTAAAAGATGAATATGGTTATTGTAATGAAGAAAATGACAATTATTAATTAAATTCCATAAGCACAAAAGATGGAATAAGTGGAACATCACATAAAACAGTAAGAAGACCAAAGAATATCAAATGCTCATAAAAAAAAGACATATGGTACAAGATAATAATTAAGATTAAAAGTCTAAACAAAGCAAAAAGATGGAAAAGAAATATATATTCCCATTACGATATGTCTTATAAAAGACATTTAATAATAATTATAAACACTTGATATTCTTCATTTAAACATTATATATTTATTTATTTTATATAATTTATATAAGGAAACATAGCTTGATATCTGGTTCAATCAAACACATAGAAATAGTCATCAATCTTTCACAGTCTTTATAAGCTTCTTGATCTTTGTTGTAGACTATTGAAATAGGCTATTAGAAACTTCATACAGATCACACTTAGTAAATGACCTCTTTGAAGAGATATCTCCTTCATTTAGTGCATCTTTAGTACAATTATCTCTTGTGTGGGAAATCTCATCCTGCAATCACAAAACATTACCAAGATTAAAAATTAAGTACTAAAACCATAAAACATCAAACTAACTTATGGTAATAAAAAGTTGATATAATTTTTATTGAAAGGTTTAAACTCAACCCATCAATATGTTCTTTCGTTGAAATACTTACATTTCTGTCACATGAAAAGTTCTAAATTTTAGAAGATTTTTACATGATAAAAATTTTATAAGAATTGGACTTAATTTAAGAATAAAAATGCAATATATGTAGGCAAACACACTTATCCAATGGTCTATAAAAAGTTGTCAATGGCCTTTTCATCAAAGAAAATCTTCTCAACATTATAGATGCTTTCTACAAAATTGGTAATATTAGTCTATTTGATGCTCAACCTAAAAATCATTTTCTTGTTTTTCAAAGAATTAAGCTCAATAGGGTAAGCTTTTGGATCACCACACTTATATAATTAAAATTAATTACATTAACATAACTATCATATCTAAAGATTAAATTGTACACATAAAAATAAATATAGAAGGTAACAAAAAAAAATTACCTTTTACAAGTGCAGGTCATGTAAATAAGAGGTAGATATATTGAGAAGTTCCATTGCGACAAAATAAAAAAGAATGAGGGATGTAGCATTAATTCTATCAACCATGCGAATTTGAATGCAATACCTTTGTAATAAAAGAATAATGGAATTAATATCAAACAATTAAAAACATAACTTAATTAAAAACATAACTTAATCAACATTTAATATTTTTTCTACGTTTATCAAAAAAAAAAAAAAATTCTACCGAGTTTTAAATCACAAACCTGAATCTAGGACTTAACCATCTCGTCACATTTTTTGCAATACCATATTCCAAAGCCCTACTCAACACCATTTGTACATTTGTAACAAGATTTGCAGAACCAGTTATGTGTAGATTCAATCAAAATAATCTTAACAAGAGTCAAACATATGATAACTTACGAATGACAATAACACAATATGTAAACAAAACATAATAAAATATAACACACATAAATAGAAATAAGGAAAACAATGTAGGAATTACTTATTTGGACTCCTTAATTTCCACAATAGTCTTCCTTAAGGTAAAACGCAGAATTTCATCATCAAATAACAATGTGCTAGAGCTTTGTAATATCTCAAATTTTCTGATATTTAACATTTAGTTAGGGGCTTAATTGTGAGGAAATAATATTATTGAGTTTAATGGCAAAAATTTTCAAATTTGAGGGACTTAAAAGAGAAAATGAATTGGATAAGGATCAGCTATTTTTTTTTCCTTCTTTCTTCTTCCTTAGCCGCCCGATTCTGCTCCTCTTTTTCTCCCCTGCACCGATCAAGAAGCAAGCCACCTACTGCACGACCCATTTGAGAAAACCGGTAAGAGAGCTTGTGTTTTTTCCCTTCTTTTCTTGTTCAAGAACAAGATTTAAGCTTGGAAATCTTTCCCCCCTCTGCAGAATTCCGGATCTGCTTTGCTCTGTTCCTCATCGTCTGTTGCTCTTGCTTTGTGGGTGCGAATTTCTCTGATTTTTGGGTAAGAAATAGCCACTAATTCCTTTTTTCTTCCTTGAATTGGCTTGGGTTTACTCTAATTTCTCTTGGTCTCTCCCAATTTCTGGTAGATTTCTTGATTTTTCCTTCCATGCCCATCGGCCTCCCCCAAACCCGCCAGCTTCGGTTTGCTTGCTGCAAATTTTGGTATGAGACAACTTTTAAAGCTGAATTTTAAACCATTTAATCGTTGTCCGTGCTGTTGAATTGTCCTGTTGCAATATGGAAGAACCCGTTTGTTGTTGCCCCTGTGCTATTCGGGAATTTCTGCTGAAAGAGGGAAATATTTCAGCAGCCTTAAACCATTTTTTTAAGCTTGATTAAGGTAGAATTAGCTTATTTTGGCTACTGTGATTTTTGGAGAAAACCCCGTGATTCGCTATTGTTTTGCCAAAGTTCGGGTTCTCCCTTTTCTGTCTATGAATTTGGAAAATTTGGTATATATGTGTTGTGTATAATTAAATCAATAATTGAAATAAAAGCCTTGCTCCCCATTGTTTTATCCGTGAGATTGGGAAACCATTTATATATGTATTTGTGTATATAAATGTATATATACATAATCTGGTCAATAAAAATAAATAAATAAATAAATGAAATTGCTTATAGAATTAATTCTTGGATATTTTGGTTAGGTTCTTGATCCTTGGGGCACTTTAGTGCGTGGATTGAGTCTTCAATTTTATGCGGTTTGAGGTAAGTAAATTATGGTAACGCCCTTCGATTTTAAAGCACATTTTAGCTTGTTTTTGAAGTGGTGGCGGGACAAAACCCGTTTTACACAAGTATGATCGATTTGAAATGGAATTTTTATCATTTTCATTGAATTGAGCATGCCTACTTGGAATTTACTTTAACTACCCTAATGAACTGAGAATTTTGTAAATTCTGATTTTTTTGTTAAATCCATGCCCACATGGAAATTTCTCAGTTTATTTCTGAAATTTGAGATTGATTGTGAATTACGGATTTTGCTGGAAATCTTGCCTGGTTTTGTCTCCAATATGGTCATGTTATTCATGTGCCCGTTAGTGGGAGGTTTATAAATGCTAGCACATGTCGACATGTTATTGATAGAACCGGTTCATTTCTATTATACTGTTATCCTACTGGTGGGATTATACACTAGTAAATCGTGTGCCTGTCAGTGGGAGGTTTATAACACTGGCCATGACCTATAGTGGAAACGTCTATTTCATTCCCGTACTGTATCCGTTTTTCTAATTACACTTGTTGGCATGCTATGAGTTTAATTACGAACTATCCATATTTTATTTACTGAGTTATCTCATAGTTTTTCCTTGTCCACCATTTCAGGAAGCGAAGTCAAGGACGGGGAAAAACGAGGGGAGTGATGAGTTAGAAGGCTAGCCATCTTGTAAATTGAGCATAGATTTTAGATATAAATCATGATCTTATAAGCTAGAATTTATTTGGAGATTTATGATATCAGAGCAAATTTTAAAAATTTTATCTTCAGATTTTGTGGGATCAGATTGTGATATGATAAAGTTCTGAGTCTTGTGCATTTGTGAGACCTTCTCACAAGTGCACGGCATCTGCCACGTTCTCGGATTTGGGTTTTGAGGCGTGACAAGCTTATTGTGCGTGACTTTTTAATGTGAACTCCTTCACCAGCAAAAATCCTACAAATATCAAAATTTAAGTAAAAATAAAAATGTTGATACATAAAAAAAATAATACTAAAAATAGTAACGTTACCTCTCATTAAATATCAAAACTTCATAAATATCATAATTATTTATAAAGATCTTAGTATTAAAAATGATATTGTATATCCCCATCACACCTAATTAAACCACCAAAAAAATTTGTATAAAACTTTAAAAATAAAATCTAAAGAAAACACTAAAATTGAAAATTAAAAAAAAAAAAAAAAGAGTAAAACCTCTTCATGATTTCATCTTTGCAAATTAAATGATAAAAATAATAGGTTTATTGAGAGGGGGTTGTTAATAGCCTAACACATTTTAATAGCAAAATTTTTCCAAAAGGTGTAATGGAGCTTATTACTACTATTTCAAAGAAGGCAAAAAAATATAAGTTGAAAGAAATATAATGGAAAACTAATTAAAAAAAGGAATTTTCAAATGAAAAATACCTTAGATTATCAAGTTCAATTGAAATCATGTTCATTGGAAAACCATTTTTTGTCACTTCCTTTTGCTCAAGTACTATTGATAACAATCCAATAATATTTTCAAAGGAGCAAATCACTTAATGTAGAAATTAAATTAAACTAACAATGCAATTAAATAAATAAAAATATAATGAAATTATTCTATAATAGATATATAAACTAAAAAAGCATTTTTTTGAGTTTGGTTTAAAATCTTATCAAACTCAATGAAAGAAAATGCATAATAAGAAATGTCGGAATCATTAAGCGAACCTTGAGTGATCCTAGGATTAAAAACAATCTTGTATTTTCATGTGGTTGACTTATAAGGATTTTCATTCAAAGAAATACTAAAATTTGAAATTGTATAAACTCTTTCAATAAAAGCATCCTTAAAATGTAAAAAGGCCAAATTTCTAATGAGAAGCCAAATTCAAAAACACAAAACATTGACCTGTTCATCCAAAAGAAGCATTTCAATATTATGACCTAGTTTTGGCTGCTGAAAATCCTTTTGCTTTCAAAGTATAATTACTCTAACCTCTATCCTTCATTGCTCTTTAAAAGGATTAAAATCTTTAATAAAATCGAACATCTTAGCCATTAGTAAGGTTATCAAAATTGGTATTTTAACTAAAATCATTTTGCTTAGGTAAAATTGGAATCATAAAATCGAATTAGTAAAATCAAGAGTTTACTAAATCTAATAAATAAATAATAAAAATTCATACTTCTATATTAATATAACTAAAATTTAACAATAGAGAATCAAATATGGGGTTAAAATTTACAATAACTCTAACAAGAATTAAATTTTAATATTATAACATATAATAATATAAAAAATAAAAAATAAAAAAAAATTAAAAAGAAATTATTGTTTAAATTAAATCACATTCACTTTCTTTATCCAAAAATTAAATATAAATATATATGTATAAACAAACACCCAATCCATGTGTCAACATAATCCCATTAAAAAGAATACCCCTCCATCCCTTCACCTTCCTTGTTTTCTCCACTGTCATTTTCCCTCTTTTCTACCATTTTTGCTCCATTTAAGCTACCTTTCTCCTTATTTAGTCCTTTTTGTTTGCAATAGATTTCATCCTTCTTTGGTTGAGTAGTGACCAGCAACAACCAACTCTTACTGTGTAAGGCTGGCTCTAGATGATTTGGGTCATCAAATAGATTTCTGTCCCACCAGTAAGTGCCTAAGTAGTGAGCAACGACACCCAAGTAGTCCATTCTCTCCGTCCCCTATGGCAAACCTAAAGTAAAAAAGATCAAAGATCAAATTTATGTTTGCATTTCTAGAAGCCTCTTCTTCAATCTTTGTGAAAGTAAAATTGAGATTTCAAACGATTTTACCGTAAAATCATAATTTTACAATTTTACCCTCGATTTTATGGAAATTCAATTTTAACGTAGATTTTACTTGAGATGCATACCTAAAATCATAAAATCTTATGATTTTACGATTTAAAATGAGATTTTGACAACCATGGCCATTAGGATCTGTATGCTTTATGTGATACCAAAAAAAAAAAAAAAACTGGTATAACATTATATGTGCATGTAGAAAAGACCCTTCAAATGATCAATATTTATTAAATAGATTATGAAGAAGAATTGGGAAAATAAAGTTTGCAGAATTCAAAATTAGCAAGTGAATGTAAATTTTCAACACATTAGAAATCTAAGACAAAAGTGAGGCATTTGATAATAGAATAGGCAAACCAATATTTTTATTGGTCTACAGCAAATCAAAAATTTTGGAAATGTAGCAAACTATAAATAGGCTATACAAAAAAAATTCAATAATAAATATGAATATTTTAAATTTAATGAAAAGTAGCAAACAAACCATCATCTAATGGTTAGAAATAATTTTTCCAAGCACTACATACTTCCCATTTCAAGTTAAACCTATAAAAAAGTATAAAACACTACAAACCATTTAATAAAGATTTCCTCTAGCATTTTGCCTTCAATCATATCATCCATTGTTTGGCAAGTTAGGTCCAGCAAGCTCTTGATATTCAAAGTAGTTTGTAGCCTAAAAATTGCAAAGATTGAATACACAAACAATTCTATCTATTAAATATTAAAATGTATTCGATCCCAAAATACATTCACGAGCATAACAAATTGGGAATTAGTAAAATAAACTCTAAATTTTCAATAAATTAAGATAGAGTAGCGATCCATCTAGACAAATTAAAGACATAACATAAGAAATCAATAAATTGCAATAAATTGAAATAGACTGAGGAAAAAAGGAAGCAAAACTTACCAGGATGAGATTGAAGAAGGTGGCTTGGTCAACCTTGACAAAGTCAATGTCCCAAGCCTTGGGCTTATCATCCACAAAAGTAGCATGATTGTTGGACTTGGGAGCCTCAACCTGCTTCTTGTAGTATTCAATTAGCTTGGACAAGATACGAATTTCCAATCACTTGCCCAAACCATCAATTGTTAAATCCAACATACAAGGGGTCCAATGGCCATGGGCTTTGGTGAGGAAAGGGTTTGGCAGCAATGAGGGAGAGTAGATGGGGTTTTAGTTTGTCAAATCCAAGTACATATCAATTTCTAATGAAAAAGTAGTTAAAAGAAAGAAACAAAAAATACCCCCATTTCATGAAGATCAACACTTGATGATTTGTTAGATCTAGCATACAAGGGGTTTGATGGCCATGGGCTTTGTAGGGAAAGGGGTTTAGCAACAATGAGGTAAAGAAGATGGGGTTTCAGTTTGAGGGGAGAAGTGGAAAAGATGAGCTTCTACACACTTTTTTGGTAAATTGGTGCAAAGCCTACATAATTTTTTCTTTCTTTTTAGCAAAAGGAAAAAGAAAAAAAGAAAAAAGAAAAAAAAAAGGGCACAAAGATTTTTTTTTGGCTTAATTTAAGTTTTAGTCTATTAACTATCACCTTGATTTCATTTTAGTCTAGAAACTATGTTTTATTTCTAAGTGGTCTATTAACTTTCATATTCATTTCAATTTCATCTACTTGGTCAAAGATAACGGAAAACTTCATATTCTATTAGAGAACAGTTAGTCCTCTGACTATATTTTTTTTTATTTTTTAGTCCTTAAATTTATATTTGTTATAAAAATAAATTTTTTACTTAAAATTATTATTTATAAGCTATGATACCAGATTTTTATATGGGTTTTCCTATTTCTTTAATTTGGTATTAGAGCTTGAAAGTTAATAGACCACTTAGAAATAATAATTTTAAGTATAAAAATCTGGTATCAGAACCTAAAAATAATAATTTTAAATATACAATCTATTTTTATAATAAATATAAATTTGAGGACTAAAAGGTAAAAAAAATATAGTTAGAGGACTAACTGTTCTCTATTAGAATATGAAGTTTTCCGTTATCTTTGACCAAGTAGATGAAATTGAAATGAATATGAAAGTTAATAGACCACTTAGAAATAAAACATAGTTTATAGACTAAAATGAAATCAAGGTGATAGTTAATAGATTAAAAATTGAATTAAGCCTTTTTTTTCCAACTCAATTCCACATAAATAGGACAATATGAATATTTTCAATAAGAATTCAAGAAATGGGTAATATAATAATAATTTAATTGAATTAAATAAAAAAAGTTAGGTGTAGTGTGAAAAGGAGTGTATGAATTGGCTTCAATGTAGTTTGAATCTAGTTCAAGGGTTTAAAGGAGAATTTATCTAGTTCATATAAGTGTAAATAGGTGTAAATATATAATGTAACCACAAAAGGATATTTCCAGTTTTACTTTAAAATATATCTTTAGATAGTACTAATAGTATTGATAGTACAAGATAATTCCCATACAACAAATATGACAATTTAGATGAAAGGTCATCTACTATATACTATAAGAGTAGATGTGAAGCTATACAAATAGACAATTACCTTATGAGTGTTTGGAGCTTTTAAGTAATCACATTTGCACTACTAAGTTCAAGAGAGAGTGGCAACACCCACAGGGAGCCAATGTTGACAATAGCCAAGTAAAGAGCTGCAACCCATAAAAGCTTAACTCCCACATTTGCACTATCTTCCTTCTCCACCAAAATACCACTTTATGAAACATTGAGATAACTCAATTAGAGGCCCTAAAGAAGAGGGAGAAAGCCTCATGAGGTAAAGAGAACCATTAAGGGAGACAATCCCACATTATTATTTATCCTCCCTAGTTGCTGAGTGGAGAAAGAAGGCAACCTAGGAAGAGGAGAGCAGGAGAAAATGAAAGGAGTCAAGTAAGATAGAGAGGAAAAGGAACTCAAAATTATAAATAAAAAATTAAAAATTTATTGTGCAGTCCAAAATCTACTATATAAATCATTTAATAAAGGTGAATTTATTAATATTAGGGCTATTTTCATTTAATTATTCATATTTTGCATTATAAATGATAAAGTAGGAGATTTTTCTTATACAAACTGAAGAAAAATACATGAACTTCCCGTATACGAGCCACTAGTTGGGCTGCGCTCCTTCACGAGGAGAGTGGAGATCACCCACATTTGAGTCTTCTCATTTACTAAACAGATATTAACTTCTAACTATTGTTCTCGTTATCAAAAAAAAAAAAAAAAAACTGAAGCAAAATACATGAACAAAAAAATTCTAACAAGCATGGCCCCACTGAATCATGATCCGACGCTGCCTATTCCTCCGAACACGTCACCATCTTCTCGCAATAGAACCTAATGAGAAGATCTCCTGCTTTCTCACTCCGCAACCAAGCTACTCCCTGAGCTAGATCGGACCTCCCTCTCCATAAATTTTCGGCGAAAATGTTGCCGCCGGAGCTTCAGCCTCGCTCGTTCCGACCGTACATCTCGTCGTCTTTGAGCGCGCAAAACTTCACCTCCTACAACCATGCCTCGCCGGAAGGCGGCGCTAACCCTAACGTCACCAGTTTCAACTACAGTAAAAGTCCATCACCGTCTTCCTCATCCCTCTCAGCCTCTCGATCTCTCAAGAACTCTCGATTCTCTCCCTCCTCCTTCGCCTACAACACTCGCCTTGCCCTGGCTCTGGTCCCATGCGCCGCCTTCCTCCTCGACCTCGGCGGCAGCGCTGTTGTTATCATTCTCACTATCGGCCTCATGATCACGTACATCATCGATTCCCTCAACTTCAAATCTGGTGCCTTCTTTAGTGTCTGGTTTTCACTACTCGCCGCTCAGATCGCCTTCTTCTTCAGCAGCTCTCTGTATTCCTCTTTCAATTCTATTCCTTTGTCTCTCCTCGCTGCATTTTTGTGCGCCGAAACCAACTTCTTGATAGGCGTTTGGGCGTCGCTTCAGTTCAAGTGGATTCAAATTGAGAACCCAGCGATTGTTCTTGCACTTGAACGTCTGCTCTTCGCATCCGTTCCTTTCGCAGCTTCGTCTCTCTTCACTTGGGCTACCATTTCTGCCGTCGGTATGAACAATGCCTCTTACTATCTCATGGCATTCAATTGCGTTTTCTATTGGCTTTTTGCCATTCCTAGAGTTTCATCATTTAAAAGCAAACAAGAAGCTAAGTTTCATGGGGGAGAGGTTCCAGATGATAACTTGATTCTTGGTCCGCTCGAGAGTTGCTTCCAAACTCTAAATTTGTTGTTTTTTCCCCTGGTTTTTCACATTGCGTCGCATTACTCGGTGATGTTCTCGTCTGCTGCTGGTGTTAGTGATTTGCTTCTTCTTTTTTTTATTCCCTTCTTGTTCCAACTCTATGCTTCGACAAGGGGGGCATTATGGTGGGTAACGAAGAATGCAGTCCAGCTTCGTAGCATACAGTTGGTCAATGGTGCTGTTGCTTTGATTGTTGTTGTGATTTGCCTTGAGATTAGAATTGTTTTCCATTCATTTGGGCGATACATCCAGGTGCCGCCCCCTTTGAATTATCTTCTTGTTACTGCCACCATGCTTGGAGGTGCTTCTGGAGCTGGTGCTTATGCGCTGGGCATGATATCGGATGCTTTTAGCTCTGTGGTATTTACTTCTTTGGCTGTTGTTGTCAGTGCTGCTGGGGCGATTGTCATAGGATTTCCCATTCTGGTATGTGCTTCTTCTCTGTTGAGCCTTTTCTCAATCTAAATTCATTTGATTACTGCAATGCACAATCATGGGATATGCTGAAAACTAGTTCCTCTTATTTCACTGTCACTGGTTTAGTAGGTTACATGAGTTTCTTTTGCTTGCTTTCACTTTGTTCTTTTATGGCCTCTCAAAAAGGTTTCTTAGCAAGGGATAAGAAGCAGATGGTTAAGATCAGTAGTTGTTATGAAGTCTTTGAATTTTTCTTGCTAGTTTAGTGAATATGCACTTGCTCAGGTAAGCTTAGAATCCTACTTGGCATGAAACATAATATGCAAATCAAATGAAATTCCACTATTCCAAATTTCGTATAATTTTTGTCCTTATAAATTCATAGAAGAAAATGAGGAACATGCAGAGGTTTTGAGCATGGCAAGCACCCCCCACCCAATCCCCACCTCCCTTTCTTTCCATATTGGTTTTGGTCAGCAAATATCTCATCTTGAGTTTTTTTTTTTTTTTTTTTCTTTTCACCCTCCTACTGGAAATTTCAAATAAAACACAACCAGCTAGGTTGACCAGTTTTATGTTCATGGGATTCTTTTGTTAAGATTTCTGTTGATGTTTCCATTGAATGGTACCACTACCATATATTTACAAAATATTGCCTAAGGAGTTTCTTAAAGAAGCCTCTATTTTTAACCATGTGGAATCAACAAGGCACTAATTCCAAGATCAAGTGCTTTAATATTATGCTAGTTTTTGATAGCGACTGAGTGAGCACGTTTTGATATGACAATTGAATATATATTTATTGACATATATTTGACGGTGTTGAATTTTCTGTAATCAAAGTACTGGTTAGGCCTATTAGATCAGTTTAAAAATTGGTATGTGTGATATACATTAATAGAACTTTCAACCCAATGGTTGGTTTTTAAAATATTAATTAAAATATGATGTTTTTGGAGATGTCCTCCATGGAGGACATCTTGCAAAACACTTTTCCCTTGATTGTTTCTGTATGCTTTGTCTTGCATCTCTGCCCTTTATCTAATGAACTTTTGACAAAATACTGGAGGGAAGATGCTGAAATCCGTAATTTGATTGATCATATAGTTTTAATGTTATATTAACCTTATTTATGCAGTTTATTCCACTGCCTTCGGTTGCTGGCTTTTATTTGGCCCGTTTCTTTACAAAAAAGAGTGTCCCATCATATTTTGCCTTTGTTGTGCTTGGGAGCTTGATGGTAATGTGGTTTGTGATGCATAACTTCTGGGATCTAAATATATGGATGGCTGGCATGTCTCTCAAATCCTTCTGTAAACTCATTGTTGCGGATGTTGTCCTAGCTATGTCTGTTCCTGGTTTAGCCCTTCTGCCATCAAAGTTTCAGTTTTTGACTGAGATTAGTTTAGTCAGCCATGCCTTGCTGCTATGCCACATTGAGAATCGCTTTTTCAATTACTCAAACATCTACTATTATGGTTTGGAGGATGATGTAATGTATCCTAGCTACATGGTTGTTTTGACAACTTTGGTGGGAATGGCTCTTGTGCGAAGATTATCCGCAGATCATCACATCGGACCCAAGGCAGTTTGGATTTTGACTTGTCTGTATTGCTCAAAGCTAGCTATGTTATTTATTTCATCAAGGTCTGTTGTGTTTGTGTCAGCTATTCTCTTGTTGGCTGTTTCTCCTCCATTGCTTCTTTACCGGTATGTACACAATAATTTTCATTCCTGTGGGCTTTAGTTGATGAATTCTGGATAAAATCATAGATATTTCTTTATTACACTTTTGAACTTTGCAGGGATAAGTCAAGAACAGGATCAAAGATGAAAGCTTGGCAAGGTTATGCTCATGGTGCTGTTGTTGCCTTGTCAGTCTGGTTTGGCCGTGAAACAATTTTCGAAGCCCTGCAATGGTGGAATGGTAGACCTCCATCTGATGCTTTACTATTGGGTTTCTGTATTGTCTTGACAGGACTGGCATGTGTCCCTATTGTCATTCTTCACTTCTCTCATGTCCTGGTATGCATACATCAGATGCTTTCGCTCTACTTCTAAGTTATTGTTCCTTAGAAAATCTTGTTTCATTGTAACTAGAAAAGGAAATAAAGAAGGGGGAAAAGCTTTGAAAGAACAATGCAAAAGGAAAATAACTGCAAACTGTTTGTAGTATCTGACCAAAAAGGAAAAAGTTAGTAGTTGGTGAGAAGATCAAAATATTTGTTGCTTGGCTTGACTTTATTGTATAGGATCTCACAATTTCAGATGCTATTAATCCATTATAAACAAAAATCCAAAGTATGGTTGTTTCCTCAGCTGGTCTATTCTGCTTGCTATCAAGCTGTTTTCCTTCAGTTGAAACATTAACTGTTCACAACAGATGCTTTTCTGAAGGTGCTTTTGTACATCAGACTTTGTATGGAAAAATATTTTTCATATTGTTCATTTGTTTCTAAACTCATAAAGTTTGTCCCTTTTAATCAATGCAATATGTGATTCTTCACTTGATTAACTCTATTCTCTTTCAAATGCAGTCTGCTAAGAGATGCCTAGTGCTAGTGGTGGCAGCAGGTCTCCTCCTTATCCTAATGCAGCCACCAATTCCCCTATCATGGGCTTACGGGTCTGACCTAATCAAAGCTGCTCGTCAGTCTGCTGACGACATCTCCATATATGGCTTCATGGCATCAAAACCCATGTGGCCATCTTGGCTGCTTATATTGGCAATTCTGCTCACTTTAGCATCTGTGACATCTGTCATACCCATTAAGTACATTGTAGAGTTGAGAGCAGTTTATGCTATTGCAGTGGGGATTGCTCTTGGTATTTACATATCTGCTGAATTCTTCCTTCAGGCTGCTGTCCTGCATGCTCTCATCATTGTAACAATGGTTTGTGCTTCGGTTTTTGTGGTCTTCACCCATTTTCCATCAGCCTCAAGTACAAAGCTCTTACCATGGATATTTGCCCTACTTGTGGCCCTATTTCCTGTGACCTATCTATTGGAGGGTCAAGTGAGAATCAAAAGCTTACTCGGAGATAGTGGACTTGGAGAAATGGATGAAGAAGATAGAAAGCTTACCACTCTTCTGGCTGTTGAAGGGGCAAGGACTTCTCTTCTTGGTCTATATGCAGCAATCTTTATGCTCATAGCATTGGAGATAAAGTTTGAACTGGCCTCACTGATGAGAGAAAAGGCTGTGGAAAGGGGTGAAAATAGATACAGTCAAACTAGTCAAAGCAGCTCTGCTCAACGTATGCGGTTCATGCAACATCGCCGTGCCTCTACTATTTCAACCTTCACAATCAAGAGAATGGCTGCTGAGGGAGCCTGGATGCCTGCAGTAGGTAACGTTGCTACTGTAATGTGCTTTGCCATTTGCCTGATCTTGAATGTTCATCTCACTGGTGGCTCAAATCAGGCAATATTTTTCCTTGCTCCTATTTTACTGCTTCTCAACCAGGACTCAGATTTCATTGCTGGATTTGGGGACAAGCAGAGGTATTTCCCTGTTACAGCAGCCATATCAGCCTACTTGGTCTTGACCACACTGTATGCCATATGGGAAGAAGTCTGGAATGGAAATACAGGGTGGGGGATTCAAATTGGTGGTCCTGGTTGGTTCTTTGCAGTCAAAAATCTAGCCCTGTTGATCCTCACATTCCCCAGTCATATCCTTTTCAACCGGTTTGTGTGGAGTCACACGAAGCAGACAGACTCAATACCGCTTCTAACACTACCCCTCAATCTGCCTTCCATCATAATAACCGACTTAATGAAGATTAGGGTTTTGGGGGGTTTAGGAATTATTTATTCAGTGGCCCAGTATTTGATCTCTAGACAACAATACATCTCTGGGTTGAAGTATATTTAGAAAGATAGATACTCTGCAGTCTGTACAATATGTTTTTGGCAATTTTCAAGCGAGAAGTTAAAGTTCAGATTGATTTTGACCTCTTTTTACCCACCCTTACCTTCTTTTGGGCTTTTTAAATTCTATGTGCCCTTAAATATCAGGATTATATTTGGTGAGCAATGAAACAATTGCACGAGGCTCATAATGAAAGTGTGAATTATGATATGCAGTGCTGGTGAATAATGCAGCAGTTGGCTGGACTTCAGATCTGCATTTCAAATGATAGATTATATGACTTTTTTTTTTTATTGTTTCTTTCCTGGCAAAGAAGATAGTGCTTAGCAATGAAAACCTTTAAATTTCTTATGAATCGCATTGAAAAATTATTATAACTACAGAAAAAGACAAGAAAAATTTTTTTATAAGCAATTTTTGCTCTTTATTTTATTTTGTGATATGTTTAAAATCTAAACTTTCCTATCTGAAAATATAAACCTAGATTTTCACTATGAATATTGAAGTGGTGTGATTTTTAAAAGGAGTTAAGTTTTAAGAACTCTAATAATGCACAATATGATAAGGATAATTTTTTATTTTAAAAGTCTTTTATCCCACAAACGTTAAAAAGATTAGTAAATTTTTTTAAATTGAATGGTATATTTGAGAGGCAGGTTAAATGATAAATTATGTTTATCAATTATTATATAAACTAAGATATTAAAAAACCCCTCATTCTTAGTCTAAAGATTTGAATATAAATTTTCGAAAAAGTATATTATAAGTTAAATTGTGCATTAAAAATATAGTTAAACAATAAATATATTAAAATATTTTTAATAAAATTATTTTTAATATTATTTTATTAATAATAATCTATTGATGGTCTATATAAGTCAATAATAATTTTTTAATAAAAATAAATAATTTCAACTTCAAATCAAATGATACAAAAATTATCGAACTTTTGTGTCAAAATGATTCATCCTCTTAAAATATTTAGATTAATTAGTTAGGATTTCGAGTCCCACCAACATTTTAAAAAATCCATTTTTCTTAATTTTTCAAATTGTAAACTGTTAAAAAAAATTATAAGGAATCTGCACTTTTTAGTACACAACTTCACTAGTAAAATATCTTTAAATTTTTATCATGAAGTGCAAATTTGCAGCTATTGTTGTGTGCTAATTATATTTTTTCATCTTTCATTATGGCAAAATATATAAAATAATAATTAAAAATTTTAAAAAGGTTAATGCATATTACTCTAATTTTAAAAAAAATCAAAATTTCAATCATATCTAAAAATTAAAATTTTAATTAATTTTTAAATTTAAATATTAATATTTAATAAGATAAATTTTTAATTTTTAAATTAAATTTTATTCAAGTAAAATAACATAATTTAATATTAAAATTTTAATTTTTTTTCAAAAATCAAAATTAATATGTATTTTTTATTTTTAAAAATAAGTAAATATTAATTAAAAATAATAAATTTATACTTTTAAATAAAATATTATGTAAGAAATTCTGTTCGGAGCAGATAACGTCCATTCAGTCCAACGAGTATCCATCAAACAACCATTAAGCCATTTCTCCGAAGCACCACGTGTCTTTCTCTCCATCTCCGATTGAGAAGATGGCATCTCCGATTGAGAAGATGGCATCTCCGATGAATTCCACCGCAATCCCTATCTTCTTCCTCTTCCTTATCACCACCGCTACTCCACTCTCTCTCTCCAATTCCGCCGCCGCGGAAGACCAAGACCCAACCCCGGCTCCGTGGCCCCACCAGTTCCACGCCGTCCTTTTCATGAACTTCAGCGGATCCCTCCAAGTGATCGACCTCTGGTACGACTGGCCCAACGGCCGAAACTTCAACATCATTCAGCACCAGCTCGGGAAGCTCCTCTACGACCTTGAATGGAACAACGGTACTTCCTTCTTCTACACCCTCGACTCCTCTAGAGAGTGCAAAACCGCCGAAGTTGAGGTCGGGATTCTCCGGCCGAATTGGCTCGACGGAGCCCATTACTTGGGTCAACGCCACGTGGATGGGTTCCTTTGTAATGTGTGGGAGAAGGCGGATTTCATTACATACTATGAAGATGTCGTCACTAAGAGACCTGTTCATTGGCTTTTCTACACTGGTAATCAAATTGATTTAATTAATTCTCTTCTGTTACTGCAATTAGGGTTCTTGGATTAATTGAATTGGGAATCTTTAATTTGTTGTAAATTGCAGGGAGGGAAGCTCATGTAATGACGTTTGAAGTGGGGGCAGCTCTTGATGATGCAAAGTGGCAGGCCCCTGTCTACTGCTTTGACAAGAACAATGATGCAAATGAAGCCACAGCCGGTGATTTTCTGGGAAGGATGCCTGACGGAGTTCTCAAAGGTTCTGCAGTTCTCTGACTGTCTAGTTTTTCTCAGGGTTTTTGCTTCATTGTTATTTTCAATGGAACAAAAGAAACCAAAATGAAGAGTAAATGTTTAAATGTATAAATGCATA